CATTTATAATAAACAAAATTCCAAAACTAACATTGAAAAATTTATCCCGAAACCATGGATCAACAGAAAGAAGTAATTCAACATAATTTTTAGCAATACGTGTAAAATATTTTTCACATTCATCATCACCATTGGGTAATTTCTATATAAAATGAATTTTTCTATATTATATTCATTAATTATAAAAATTTCATTTTACTATGAAATATTTTAAATAAAACCACCAAAATGTATCAATGAGTAAATATTGACTTGTATCACTTCGAATTATTTTATTCCAATAATAAGAAAAATTTTCCTACATAAAAAAAAATTATTTTATTATTTAAAATATATATAAAACCATAGCTAACTTTATATTTTTGTGCTCGAGTTACTTTATCTAAAATATCAATAACTTCAACGGTAGTATCCGATGCCCAATCAGTATAAACATTTGGTTGAAAAGGTTTGTAACGTAAATTTTCTATAGTTTTACGTTCTTTTTCATTTTCATCTGTTGCTACAGTTAAAAAAATTTGTTTTCGTCGTTTAAGTATAGCATTTAACTCGCTGTTCGGATCAAGTTTATCAATTTCTGTAAAAGAAAAAAAAATGTCACAAAATAAAATTAAAACAAAAATTAAATATTCTTTTCTAACCATCAAGAGATATACTAAATGAACGAACAGCTTGTTTCATAGGTATAAAGGCATCATTTTCTTGTTTAAAAAATAAATTAGTATATTCGTTCATAGCTAATTCACATTCTTTAAGACGATCTTCAATTGGTTGTAATACAGTTAATGTCGTTTTAAACATGCTTGCAAAATCCTATGATAAAATTGACACAAAAAAAAATATTAACCAATATGAGATAGATCATAAAACTACACACATTATAAAAATCATCATAACTAGCAGGAAGAACATCTATTGTATCGACAAGAGTAGCATCTGTTTTTGGAAAATTATTCTATATAAAACTAAAATAATTCATTGAAATAAAACGATCAAATATATCTTACAGTTATTTCATTATTACATAATTCATTAAATAATTCTAGTTTTTTTATTTTTGTTTGTTGATTATCCATTATGATCTGTATGAGAAATAGACGCACTCTATTTTGTTTCAATTTAAAAATTAATAAATAAAAGGCAAGAATTTTTTTTTGTTATTGAGTATAAAAAGAAACAGAAAAATAAGAAGACAAGAAGAATTTTTTTTTTCTAATCAGTCAATAAGAAAAAGTATCCTGTCCAATTTTTTTTTCTATGCCGATGTATTCGTCATGGCTGTTGGTGTTCCACGCTGTCGTCCGATTTTAACCGCTGTTATAGTCATATCTTTTGATGTGTTAGTTTGTTGTTGCTCGTGTTTGTTGTTCACATGTTCAACAAGTTTAACAAAATGACTTCGTGATACAGCATGTTTATAATGAATTTTTTTACGAAATGGTTCACTATAACTCTATTTAACAGAGAATACAAGTAAATATGACTTTTTTTTTCTGATTAATTAAACATTTATTTACTCCTTCAACATCTTCGAGTTTTAAATGAGCTGTTGCTTCTTGTAATGTTAAGAGTATACAGTTCCATGGAGAAAATTCTTCACGACGATTCCATCGAACAAATGTTAAACTGTAAATGTCAGATTCTTCACTTAATGCTGAATGACTATCCCAAATATTTTTAAACATATATTCTATATCATTGGTCTAATGAAGAAAAAGATTCATGCAATAGATATTTTCTGATGGATGTTATTAATCTATTTAATATAATAAATTATTCTTACCGTTAAAAAGAATATACAACGAGCTCCATCATTATAAGCACATTCGTCTTGTTCAATCTTTTTAAATAAAAATCTAAATAATAAGAATATGTTTGATTAAAATAATTTCAAACCCAAGTTTCTTAATATCATACTTATATTTAGTTTGATCCGTTCGTTTATTAGCAATATTCTCCAATCGAAGACATTGTCGACATTTACCAATTTTTGCATTAGTACTACTAACAGAAAATTCTGTTGATGGATAGTATTTCTGACAACTACGACAATAAAGTGTTTTTTGTTCCATGGCAACGACTGGATCTTGTGGCACCTATGTAGAGTTTCAAGTGAATAAATTATATACACAGAGTGTCACAAAAGTCAATACACAAAAAACAACCTAAATTCGAATATCTCTCTTAGGGTTCTGTCTAATAGACTAGTTTTTTGTACTAGAAATAGAAGATATTTTCAAATGTCTTTCTATATAATCAAAGTTTTTAAATAGTTCTACTAAGATAACATTTTCAGGTTCAATATGTAACGAAGTGATTTCATTTAAGAGAATTCTAAGGAGAATATTCAAAAATAGGTTTTTCCTATAGTGACTTTTCAGATATCCTATACATAGAAATTTCAAATATTACTTTAAGATGTCGAACAACACCTGGATTGAATGTAGGTGTTTTAATATATTGAAGAAATAAAGTCGAAATACGTTGACGAAGGCCAGATAAATTTTCTTCTTTTGTTCCACGCATAAGAAGATCAGCTTCACGATCAATTAATTGAATTATTTCTTCTGTAAGACGACATTCATGTTCCTAGAATTTAATTTTTTTTTTTCGTGCAATTATAATGAAAAAATTTTCTAATCAATTTACTTTCACAGTATGTTTTAAAGTCAGAAGAATATCAAGTCGTTCGTCAAGTGTTAAAAATTTCATAGTAATTGTATTGTAAATTTGCATTAATTCACGAGCACGAATTGAATAAGGTGTACTAATAAATGAAAAATAGTTTTCGATAGTATTTTTGTAGATTTCAAAAAAAAAAATTAATTAAAATCAAAAGACATATTTGGTATTCTGAAGAAATACTCACTATAATTTCTTTCTCTATTATCAATCTCAAAAACACGAGTCCCATTTTCGCCTTCTGTTCAGCGTTATAGATATTTCACCCGATTCTTTTAGCGTCGATCATGATATTTGCTAACAAAGTTCATGATGTTGGACTCCTCATTCAACAGTTAAACGCTGCCTTGTTTATCAATCAACATTCAATATCAAGTGATTTTAGTTTGCTTGCTTGATGAGTTTAGAGAACTTTTAAAAAGCATGAAATTTTTCTTGTTGTTGAAAAATCTGTGAATTCAAGATATTTAGATCAAAACAGATGAAAAACTAGAGAAGTTTTATTGCAATTCAAAATCACTTACTCCATTTCTGTTGTTGAACCATCTTTATATTTCCATCTTTTTGGTTGAGCAACACGTTCAAGAAAACGTTGTATATTAACTTCTTTATTATATTTTTGAGCTTCTGTTTTATATCGATCAATAGTTGCTAATAATTCTGTTTCTTCATCAACTAATAATGCTAATGCTGCTTTTCGAGCTATTTGAATATAAAAAAAGATACCTTACGTATATTAATTCGTTTCTTAATACTCTCTTACCAGCACCCTGTTTTGTTGCATTTATTTTTGCTATTTCTTCTTCACGCCATTCTAAATAAAAGAAAATGAAATTTATTAATTTATTGAATAAAATTTTTACTTTCAAGTGCAGCATAAAGTACATCAAAATCATCTTTTGTTCTTGGATGCAAACGTCTATCAAGATCATATTGATAACGTTTTTGTCGTTCATCTAATTTTCTTTGTTTATCTTCTAATTCATATTGTATTCGTTTTTGAAATGCGTCTCTTAATGTATTTACATCACGTTTAGCTAACCAACGACGGAAATACTTTTGTATTATAACTGCCTATTAAATCAAAATAATATATATTTATTTTTTACTTTCTTTATTTCATAATTCTCTGACTTTTTTATTTAAAATTTCAAACTTTTCTTCAGCTGTTTGATAACGATGTGGTGTTAATAAACGATCAGTTTCAGTTGACACATAATAACCAGGTTTACTCATTTGTGTTGATTGTTCATTTGTTGTTTGAATAACTCGATGTCGTGATTGAATTGTTTGTGTATCACGACAATAACGTATTATACCTTTATCGGGTCTTTGTGGTGGTAAAGTTTGAGCACTAGCATGATGATATTCTTTTCCAGTCATACGATGACGTACACCACCCAAATAAGGCTTACGAAAATTATTTCGTTCAATTTCAACAACAACATCACGACTCATATTTTGACCTGATTTTATTACAAATAAAAACTTTTTTTTTTTATTAAGAAGAAAAAAAAGACTTTTAATACCTTCATCAATTCGAACAGTGATTACATCAGGCATAGAAATATCTTGACGTGGTTTATATGGTCGTAATGGTTCATTTACTGGATCTTTTGAATGTAATTCTAGAAGAAAATTTAAAGACAAACAGAAACAAAAAAGGAATGCATTTATTTTATGATGATTCACTAACCCATGCTAACGGTAGTATTTGGTTCGACTTCGATCTGTGAAAGAGTCAATTGATTATCAAGAATTTTGTCTAAAAGAAGAAAAAAAACACCAACGAATATGAATCAAATAAAAATGTGACTAATCTTCTTCTTTTTTTCTTTTTTTATTCTTCTTTTACCTTTAAATGTTATTTGTAAAACATTTTCTGGCATACGTAATTCTTTAGCAAAATGTGTAATTAATTCAGTTATTGGTGCTCGAAGTGGAAAAGCAACTGTTACAGTTTGACCGATTGATTCAAGCAACATTTTAACTGTTGCTAATTTGGTTTCTTGTTCGTCATTTGAATCTTTTGATTCATGATAAACATTACTATTATCTTCCTCTTTATCATTAATCATTGTTGGAAGAGGTGGTAATGGTAAATTTTGTTCGTCAGACATTTCTAAAACCTTCTAAAATATTCAATTGTATAGAAAATCTATTGAACCATTTAAAATGTTTATCTCCTAGCAACAATCCTTTATCAAGAAGTTTCATCTAGATGACTCTAGAATCGATCAAAAAAACCTATTGGATAAATCAAATTTCTCCCAAATAATATAATAATTTTGAAAGACGTATTTTTATTAATGTCAATCATGGATAATTCGAAAGTGTTAGGTAATTATGGACGTGGTAATTCAGCAAAAGATATCTTACAAAATTCAGTAAATAATATTATTTTATTTTTTATTGTTTATATATATTTCTATAATCATAGACGAATGCATATACATCTCCACCAGCACCATCAATAAATATTAATAATAATTTAAATGTAGCAAGTGGACGTGCTGCACAAGTTTTACGTCAAATAAAGTTAGTTAAATAATTTATTGTGTTTTAAAATTATTATTTCTATTATAGACAATCATCTTTATCCAATTCATCAAAAGATCTGTAAGTTTTCGTTTGAAAAGAAAAACAAAAGAAAATTTTTTTATTTTGATCAATAAATGATTAAATCTTAGTTTAGAAAATCAATTATTTATTCGTTGTACAATAACTCAATGGTATAAATATCTAGTTGAGTTTCAACCAATAATAACAAGTCGAACAACTCGTTTTAAAATGATTAATCATCTATCAAAATGTCTTGGTGATTTACATAAATTATATGATGGTCAATTTATTTATGTTTCACGTCAATTATTAAAAGAAGTAAAAAAAAATTTTATTGATAAAAAAAATTATATTTACTTAAATAGACTTTTGTCTTTAATAATACAACAATAAATACACCCAATGAAGTACGTATACGTTATATTGAAACAATTAATATTGAACAAATACCAATGGATCTCATTAATGTTTTATTTCGATTGTAAGTTAAATATTCAAATATGAATAGAAAAAAAAACGATTCGAAATATTTTAGAGCAATTGATCAAGGTCGAGAATCGATTATGAATTCAATAAATCGAAATGGTGGACATCGACAAAAGTAAATTCATAGAAGAACTAATAAGGAGAACATATCCAACTATTGAATATCGTTCGATTTCATAATTTGGCTCTGAATTGAACTCAATGAAACTAAGAGAATTCTTAAAAGATTTTTACTCATGCGTTACCTAGCTTAAGTTTTTTGATCTTTGTGTCAGCTATTTATGGCAAACTCAATAATAGGATTTTCATCTGATGTTTTATTTTTAGACAAGTCTCATGGCTATTAGAGTATCTTAAGAATTTCAGCTCAAACGAATGCTTATATATTACAAGGCAAGCTATAAAATCGATTTATTTTACACGTTTGTCATCTCAAGAAAAATGCATCTATTTGAGCTGAAATATTGAGGATATTCTAATGACCATAAGACCTGTCTAAGGATAACAATTCAGATAAGAATTTCTTGTTTAAGTTTTCTATGGATACTTGGTTCAAAGACCAAAAACTACTAAAACGGTTGTAATTTTAGCTAGATAATGTATAGATCTGAATCAATTTAGAGTTTTCTTAGTTTCACTGGTTCCTACTCATAACCCAAAAAAAATGAGATCGAACAGTGTTCGACAATTGAATATATTCTTTCGTAAGATTTGACTTCGTTTGTATTGAAGAGTACGTCATTGGAATGGTAAAGTTGTAAATATTGAACATAAAGATGATGGAATATTATTAACAATTGATTTTGTACAAAAACCATCAACAACATGTTATGAAGAATTGTAAGTTGTAATTCAAAACAAACAAAAAAAAAAGCAGTTTGTTTAGAGAACGTTTTTATATGTCAACATGTGGTGATGATTATCAAGAATCTGCTAGAAAAGAATTAATTAATAAACTTGTTCTAACACGATATGATAATCGAACACAACGTATTGATAATATTGATTTTCAACTTACACCAGCTACATTTACATTTAATGATGATTCACAAACAACATTAATTGATTATTATTTGTAAATTTATTGTTTGTTTGTTTACTTTTTTTTTAATATAAATAATTATTTATTATTATAGACATAAATTTGATATCACTATTAAAGATCCTGATCAACCATTAATTGTTTATTGTCCACGACGACCAGGTGAAAATACTGTATGAATAAATCATTTCATTATTATAATGATTTAATATGAATGTTGGTTTTTTTTTGTATTTTCAGACAAATACAGAAGTTAATTATCTTGTTCCAGAATTTTGTTATTTAACTGGTTTATCCGATCGTGCACATCGAGATGCTCGAGTATAAAAAAAGAATTATTCTTTTAATAAATAAATAAATTTATTTTCATCGTTCTATGCTATAGGCACGAAAGACACATAATTTTATTCCATTAGATTCAACTGGACGTCAAGCTGAAATATCCTATTTTAATGATATGATTCGACGAAATATGGCAACAATTAAATATCTTGCTTTATGGGGTATTGATATTGTTCCAACCAATTTTCCAATACATTCATCCATAGATGAATCATATCGAGTATATTTTAAAAAAAAGAGAGAAAATCAAATCATTTTAAAAAGATTTGTCTTTTTTAGAAAATTTTTCATAACAGTACAGTTCTAGAAGATGATGAAGAAAATGAACAAAAAGATATACAAGATAATGATCATTCTTATGGACATTTTACTAATCCGGTATGAAAAATTTTGTCTTTGAATTAGATTTGATTATAATTAGTTTCGACAATCATTAATCAAGATTGACTATCAGTTTCATCTGTTTGATCGTCGATGAGAATGATTGGAACAAAATAGACGAAACTCTGAGTTTATGCCTATAATCTTCTTGTATACAATATGGTTTAGAGTTCCTTGCCCTAAATCTATTTTGTCAATCAGATTAACATAAAATTGTGATTTTCTTCAAAATATGATTGAATCCTAATGTTTCTGATAATATATATAAAGGGTATCCCATAATTTATGGGCTTCAACGAAAATTAGTTTATACATTATCCGATGGCATGATCTCTTTTTTTATTATAGTGATGTCAACAGAAGAAACTTGATAATAAAAGTCTCAAAGTCGACTACTATTTCTTTTTGAAGAAGTTTTAATGAATTATGAATCCATCGTATGTAACGTAACACAAGGTTATGACTATCCTCGGTGCCCATATCCTAATAATGACAATTTTTCTGTGTATATCACTATTATTATACGAGATAATATCATTTAAAACATTGTCCTACGTATTTTCAAAACATAAAGAAAATACGATAGAATTTTTATAGTTAGATCTGATTTGAAATTAAACCTAATCATTTAAATCTTTACTACAGTTTACATCTAGTCTTTTCTTTGTCTAATTCAACTAGAAATCCTTATTTGATCATTAATGATGACCTGAATTTGATCACTAATAAAATTGATCTCACTTGAGAATGTTAATAGACACAATTATCTATTGAAAGATATATTTATTTAAATTTGAAGATTGAACTCAATAATTGGTTATTAATTTATCCAAAAATTGACGAAGATCGAGCATCAATCTATGTCAATATGCTTCGACAAGTAGGTCAACAACAAGGAATGCTTATTAGTGAGCCAATTCATGTGAAAATGGATGATGATGAAACAGAAACATATGCAAATGCTCTTCGTACTAATCTCAATGAACAAGCAAATTACTTTAAATTTCATAATATTTCTTATATTCGAATTTATTCTTTAGATACAACTCGTATCAGTAATTGTTAAATCACGTCGAATTGATCGTTACAATACAATTAAACGTATCTGTTGTATTGAAATACCAACTCCGAGCGAAGTGAGAAGATTATCATATTTAAGAAAAATATTAAAACTTTCTTTTTAAATATATATTTAGATTGTTTTAAGAAGTACAATTGCTGATGACGATATTCTACCAGGTGTTGCATTAAATATTGCTCGAGATATTAATTTTAAACTTGGTGGACAAATTCGAACAACTAATATTAATATAGTAAAATTTAATTTGATGTAAAAATAAGTTTCACTATCTTAAATATTTTTTTAGCCAAATACAATGATAATTGGTTTAGCTACATGGACATCGACACATGTCAATTATAAATTATCAGAACATCTTAATTATGTTTTGGCTATTGTTGGTTCATTAAATTATACTATGACAGAATATTTTAGTCATGCAAAGTCATATACAAATGAAAATGATCTTCGATCTGATATTGGAATATTTGTTCGATTAGCCATTGATGCATATTATGAAGTATCATAAGCATATCTTTTTTCTTTTTGTTTCTATTCTAGTATTTTAATTTTTATAGGAAAATAAAATTTATCCAACAACAATTATTATTGGACGAAATGTTTTTTCATCATTTGATGATTTAAATATAATTAAAGAAAATGAAATTCAATCAATTATTGATATGATTACACATAATAATATTATAGAAGATTATCAACCACGAATAATTATATTTGCATTTATGAAACAAATGATTTATGATTTTTATAAATATGTTCAGGTATACAAAATTTTACTTTTATGAAACATGATCTCCAAGGAGTGTTGAAATATAGAGATAGAGCTTTAGGTCTCTCGCAGACTGTGCGAAATATTGTTGCTAAACAATCGAAGATCATATATCAATAGTATCTCATTGTAATGTAATGTATGAACTACTTTCTTGTTATATTTCTGAAGGATTAAGACAAAGCATAGTGAAGAAATGTATCGTTTAATAGGTAGAATAAAGTAATTTCCTGTGGTTAATGACACTAGCTACATTGTACTTCACATTTTAATCCCGGAAGGATTGTGGTAACAGTATTTTTATATAAATTTTCATATATACATGTAATAAAATGTATGTAAAGACTTCGAGTGCACATATTTGGGTCAAAGTGTATTTTATTCATATAAGTGTGAGAAACACAAAGATGCGTAAGTTATTCAGAGATTGAAGTAGTGCTTTCCGAAGAAAATCAAAATTTCAGGAGGAAAAAAACGCAAAATTAATAAAGACTAGAGGACATATTTACTAGTTTTTTTCTTTAAAGTCTCTTTAGTATTAGTATAAATATACTTTTGTACTTTTGTCGGACCAAATAAACAATTATCGATACCTTGAAATGTTCTTAATATACATGAATTTAGTTGTTTTTAAAGTGAATATTTCTTTAAAATCAATGAAAACTCTGATTTTTATGTCATAGCTCATAACGGATATGTCCGAATGAATGTTTCTCTTATTATTATTTGTTAATATTTCACTCAATCTTTACTGTGCAAATTTGATCTTTTTTTTCAAAAAGATGTGCCATTCAATTCCTAACAAAAAAATACCAAAAACTTGGCTAAAATTAAATTACATACAAAAATTATTAGTTAACACTTAATAAGTATTACAGAATAGGTTTTCAAACTGATTTTTATAATAAATTACAGCTTAAATAAAGTTGAAATCGATTTGAAGATCGAAAAATTTGACTGTTCCAAACTCTTTTTTGACCCACAGACTGATTAAGTAGTCATTTTTTTATTTAAATAAGAATATGGAACTTAAAAGACGAGAGCATTTTTTTTTTACCTCATAATGTTACTTTTCTTTTAAACTCCATAATAATAGATTAAAATAGTCTGACTGCTCCAAAAAATGACAAGAAAACTGATGAAAGCATGTCTTAAAGATTAATTTGAAAGTTTTTCAATTATAGTCAGTTGATAGAGCACTATCAAGGACTACCAAATGGCTATATTATCTTATTGTTATCATTATTAATCGACGAATAATTCTTAAAAACTAGCTTTTCATCTTTGAAATCAGTGTTTTATCTAGATTCTCCTTTCAGCAGGAATTTTTTTAAACTTGGAAAGGTCAAGAATCTATTTTTGGCAACACAGACGCATAGTATGTGGTACAATAATCAGAAGTTTCGGCTAGGTCAATTTAACCTTCTCAGAAGCACCATCCTTTATGTCTTCATAATGGATAAAACACAGTTTGAAAAGTTATTTTTATATACATTCTTAATATTCAATTATTCTTTTTATTAAATTTATCCAGGAAATTGCTTGAAAAACACTTTATTAAAAATTGAACAATAGTACCTTTTTCTTTTGAAAAAAAAATTCAAGCATACAAAATGAAGACTGAGCAAGATATTAAAATAATATATTGAAGGTCATTTATTTTGATGGATTGATTATTACGGCTCTTCTAAAGAATGCACACACCGTATTTAGTAATTACTTTGATCGTATACTAATTGACCTGATGTCATAATGCACCACATTGCATGATGACGTGGGTGTATTCTGTAGAAGTAACATTTATTTTTTCGTTCATACCATCTAATAACATATGACAAATCAAATTTTGATTCGATTCAGTAGTCTTAATAGTATCATAAAGTACAAATCAAATGAAAATAGTGCAAATGAATATATTATTAGATGTATTGTAATGCCGGAAATAATCTATTTTTATGTTTAACATAACAATTCTTATTAATTTGAAAATTATTTCTATTTCTATTTTTGTTTTAGCCAAAGAAAATTGCGAATATTGATTGTTTAATTGCAAAAGATTCGTAAGTAATCGTTTATTCTATCGTTAAATATATATAAAATATCATATATTTATCTAGACCAAGTTATTGTTTCTATTTATCATCACATCGTGATCATTGTTCAACATTACAAGCTCGTCAATTTCTTGTTCTATTTGATAATACTGATTTATCAGCACAAAAAATTCAAAGACTTATACTTTATTTAACATTACATATTCCACAACGTAATCAATTTTTTTTGCCATCAGTTTGTCGAGTAAAATTTTTTTCTATTTATTTATATTTCAATATAATAAGAGAAATCATCTATTGTTTTTTTTTTTCTTTAGTTTGCTCAACGTCTTTCATCATTAGTTGGTGAAACACTTGGTGCTTTACCAAATTTTTCACAATATAAAAATTTATTCTATCTTTAAATATCAACAGTGTTCTTGTTTGAAAAAAAAAACTTTGTGTATTCTAGTCGAAAGATTTTGTTTGTTTTTTTTTTTGGTTTTGTTTTCTTCAGATAATATGAAATGTTTTTGTTATTGTTATTTAAATGTTTTCTATGTGTTCATTCTAGATGTATATTCAATTCGGACATCAAGAATATTTAAATTTCTCATCATCAAATGCATTTAATGATTTAATTCAAGAATTAAATGACTTATTAGGTGAAAATACCTATATTATTGAAAAAAATGGCAAGAAAATAGATTTATCAAATGAATATCAATTATTAGAAGATGAAACATATAAAATTTGGCCTAAAGTACTTGGAGGAAAAGTAAATTTTAGAAAAAAAAAATATCTTTCAATCTATTTATTTTCATCTATGTATTTTTTCTTTTAAGGGTGGTTTTGGATCTTTATTACGTTCATTTGGTAAACAAATTCTTATATCGAAAAATAAAGAAGCTTGTCGAGATTTAAATGGACGACGAATGAGAGATGTAAACAATGAGAAAAAACTTAAGGTATGTAAATTTACAAATAATATACATTTTTAATTAAATTTTTCAATATTATTGAAAGAAAGAGAAGACAATTGAATATACGTGACTTATAGATGCCTATATAATAAAATATGATCATTTTATTTCTCTTTCAATTAGCAAGGTCGAAATGTCTTTTTGTGTTTTTTTGATCTATTCATAAACAACACTTGGGTATTTTGAGAGATATATTTTTCTAACGGCATTTTATTGTCGTTAAAGTATGACATATTTCAGCAATTAAAATCTATTCTTTATGTGCTATTTATTGGATAATAACATCTGTTTTTGATTTAAGGAATGGATGCAAAAACAATTAGAAAAATCTGCTACATCATCAACGGATCATAAAAGTAAATCATCAGCAGATGAAGAGAAAAATGATTATCGAAGTGTTCCACCACCACATAAATTTTCTGATACGACTTATGATGAACAAAAAAAACAAATTGCTGAAGATATGAACGAAGCTGTACAAATCGCTGCTGAATTAATACATGCAGAAAAGAAAAAGAAAAAATCATCAACAGCAATTAGTACACGAGACAATGATAATGATGATGATGGTGAAAAAGTGACAACAACCAAAAAGCGACGTCATTCAGATGACACACTTGAAGATGGAGAACTCAAAACTAAGAAAACAAAAAAAGAAAAAGGAGTTAATGCAGCATTTTTTCTAGGTATTGATCTTGGTGATGTATCAAGTGACGATGATGATGATGAAGCAGCTCATGCAAATGATGCAAAGAAAAAAAAATTGGCTAAGAAAACATAAATAACTGATCTGTTTTGGTTTTGTATTTGTATGTCTTGTTCATTTTGATTCTGATTCTTAATAATAAACATTCGATTTTGTGCAGTGTCCATTCAAATTTATTTCTCTAATATATTTTTCACAATTGATTCTTGTATTCTTATTTTCATAGAAATTTTCCTAAGACAAAAAAAAAAAGAAACATAAATAACAACACGCATTTATGATTATAATTCAAGGTCAAAAATAAATGATCTATATTTTTGTATCTAAAGCAAAATTTTTGACGGAACGATATAGATTTTATATGATATATTACTGTAGAGTTGCATCGAGACACTAAGATAAAAGAAAAATTTCCGTAATCCTTTGGGAAAAGTAGAATCGTTGCATGAAATAATATTTAATTGAGCATGTTTCTTATTTTATGAATAATAACTAGGGCATTTCTTTTTTTAGAGATGTATGATATGATGAACAATCATCAAAGAGCAATAATAAAAACTAGATAATAACTTGAACTATGTTTAATCTTCATTTTTTCCTCTTGATCATACAATTATTTTCTTTGCTCCCTAATTCATTATTCTGTAGAACGCATAGATGAAATATTTTGACGAGAAAGATTAATGAAGAAAATATTCAGCTAAGATTTTCACGTACCGTTTACTCTCAAAAGAAAACTAAAGCCAAGGAGAATAAATATGATTGAATATTTATGATAGATTTGTTATCTTCATTGAAAAAATGCTGCATTACATAGCTTCAAGCCTTCGAGACAAAAAATGATAAAGAATAGCGCAGTCTTATTTTGCTCCAGGAATTTTAACAGTTTGTTTTTCTCTTTTGATAAAATCTTATCGTTGTTTCATAAGTGTCCTATTTTATTTCTAATGTGTTTTTTTTTGAACTCAATGCAACTCTTCTTTTCTGATAAAACAAAAGATTATTTTCCAATTCATTAATCATCGGTTTAGATAGATTTGATTACATAATAGAAAAAGAATTCTATTTACTTTACTTAGACACTATCAGATTTCTTTCGATGAAATCTATAGATAAAAATACAAAGCAAATTGTAAGGAGGATATTCATGTTCTTACCGAATGAGTAAATCTCTATTTAATTTGTAATGCATTCTACCAGAAACGAAATTGTTCAAAGTAAACATTCAAATTATTTACAGTGAATGATAATGATAATATATTTTTGAACCCTTCATGAATAAATAATATAACACTGGAAGTATTTATACGGAATAGTTGTTCTCAAAAAAAAAAAAAAAAAAAAAAAAGAAATTATTGAAATATAATATTGTACATGAAATAGCGAACACTTATGTGTTCTAAACATGATCAGGTGAGTAATATATACTGATAGCTTTCTAGTTATATGATAAGAAAATGCTTTTAAAACTTTAGTGTATTGCTTATAAACTTTGTATCTTATTTCCGATTTCATTCAAAACATATTCTAATTCTAGAGTCTTAGCAGAGAAAACATTTTTTTTTTGAGTTGAAATAAATCAAAAATCAAAAAATTATCTACATTGACGGTTTAGGCAAATTTTGTATATTTGAATCTATTTACGATCATTAAACATCTGTTAATTGAATATAAAATTGATGTCGTGTGTTGATTATTTATAAAATGCCACGATAGCTTTCTATGAATGAGGCGTCAGAACCCTGCTAGTTTTATATTCTTAAACCAAATAACCTCTGTTTGTTCTATTAACATAACTTTCATCACAGAAATAACTAAAGGATGCTATCCATTCTTTCATGATTCCCTAATTGATACTTGATTCTTGTATCTTCCATTGATCAATGACGGACAGATTGACAGAACGAATATTCTTTTTTGCAAAAGGTTATCGGTGGGATTTCTGATGTCTATTTGCATACTATTGATAACAGAAAATCACATAGTACGATCATTATATTTATAACGAATGTAATTATTCTTCTATATATATATCAGACATAAGTTAATAAGGTTGTTTTGAAGCCTTTGATCACGGTTCAAATAGAAGTACTTATGTATAAATTTTCTATACGGATATGAAGATTGCAATTGACATTCGAGTTCTGATATATTTTTTTCCACTGAACAATTAAAGGAAGAGTCATATTAAATGAATGATACTTTTGTTTTTCATATTAGTTAAAAAGTTTAGGATAATGAGTTTTTTCATTGTTCAATAAAAAAAAAAAGAAATATATAGTCTATTTATTTGTTGTTATTGCAAGATAAAATCTGCACATAGTGAAGTGTTTATCACTAGTTCTACTTAACATTTCATATTTATCCATAATATTGTTGTTCATCTATTTCACTTTAATATGAAATAAAAACAAACATTTATCATTCTGTTGATACAAAAAAATAGTCGATAGACATATAAAATATAATAATATATGATAAGATAGTTTTTGTTTTCATTTCTTCTCCGTGGGATTTTTCTTTTTTCTTTTTTTTTTTTTAATAAATGTATAGTCCTTAATTGACACTCGATATTGAATTAATGTTTATAACCACAAAAGAAAAAACAAAAGCAAAGCAAACAATGATCTGAACATAATAAAAAGACATATAATTATAACTTATGATTAATAATCAATCAAATGTCGACACATGATCTTCAGTTTCAAAAAATGGTACACTTCTTGCTGTTTTTAATGGTGTTTCAATTAATTGTTGTTTTGTTAAATCTTGTATATTATTATTTACAGTAGCTGAATATCGATGATTTTTTATTAAATGTATTGATGAATGACATGGTTTTGTATTAGGTACGAAAATACTTGCATGACGATTTGATGCTATTACTCGTGTTATACCATTTTGAACATCGAAACCAGCTGGTAATGGTCGACAAAATAAAAAATGTTCACCAACTTGTCGAAACTTTCGATCGAAAAAAGCATAAAGTATAAATGTCGATGATGCATTTATGACAGATAAAAGATTATTGATAGCTAGATATTGTCTTGCACGTAGATTAGCCATTAAACTTATACCAAACCATGCATAAAGAACATTAAATATAAAATAAGGAAATTGTGTAACAAGAAATACAAATACAATTGATAATAATAAAAAATTAATAGCATTTGATGATCGATTGTGTTTTGATAAATTACCCAATAAACGTTTACGTTTACGTACAGTATATAATTTTTTAATAATCATTGTTTTACATATTAATATTGTTGATAATGGAATAAGAAAAACAAAAACAAAATAAAGATATTTACGCATTAATATACGATATAATGGATGTGCTCCAAATCTTGATACAATTATAGTTCGTGTATTATTTTGTTTAATAAGAGTAAATTCAAACCAAAATGGTATACAATATAATATACAAAATAATGCAACACATAAAACAACAAATACTGCGTGTCGTGGACTACGCCATTTTTGACCTCGAAATGGTAAACATATGAGAATAAATCGATCAACAGCAACTGTTGCTGTTAAATATATTTGTATTAACAAACATGTTACATGTATGGGAAAAACTTTTGTAAATATATATCGATAAAATGTTTCAGCATGAAAAGTTGAACGTATTCCATGTGTTAATAAAAAACCAATTAAAACAAATGATGATGCACATGATAATGCAAATATATAAATATTTGTTGTTGATGTACGCATAATTCGACTGGAT